ATTATTATTATTATTATTATTGAGAGCCAGGCATGTTTGCACTGTACAATATGTGCACTCATTTGTGCAAAGAGAGTGGTTCCATCTGTTGCAGTCACCACTGTAGGGAGTGCAGACAGATTGTCAGAGGATTTATGCACTGGTATTTAAACAAAAATGCTAAGTAAATCTGATGATGGTACAACTATTTCCACCATTCAATGTATTTAATGCAATGCAAACAGGATTAGAGTTAAATCCAAGGACTTTAATAACTCATAGGTTGTTCTGTTCTTAGCTTGTTTCAGTTTTTGCATAAAATTAGAAACCTCAGCCACCCTTTCCCTCAGACACAGTGCAAAGCGTCTGTTAGTAGTGGTAGTCATGGGTGTAACCTGCACATATGGAGCGGCTCCAATAACATTTTGTTCAACACCCACGGAGGAAATGCTAACCTGTGCTCCTGCGTGTCATATCTGTGCAGGAGACAGGTGTCGCGTCTGCGGTGCACAGGCCCTGTTCTGCCCTCGGTCCTCCTCTCTCACAGCTCACTTGTTCCAGACATTCTTCCTCTGGGCCAGGGTGGGAGCAGCACACTGGGAGAATGAGAGAGAGGGACAGACAAAAAGAAACACGGAGAGGAAGGATTACTGACTGTTCAATGCCAACAGTAGAGAGGCATAAAAAATCCGCCCCTAATAACCTCCTTAAAAAAACATCCCACGAACATCCCTAATTACCCACAGGGAGGACAAAAGGATAAACCAATTTAGCTAATCCTTAGTCATATTACCACATTCCACTCTTAAGGGCTACTGTACATTCTTCATGAGGCATGCTCAGTTTACAAGCTGGGGAACTGCAAACATCAAATGTAAACCAGCAGTAGGATGTTTTTTTTGTCTATATTGTTGTGAATGAGTAGACAACACTCATCACAGAGGAATGAGCACTTGTATAATAGTACTGGTTTGTCTTTCTGTCTTTAAAAAAGGCATACTTGATTATATATTTGAACTTTAATGGTGATTCATTGGCCCTGCCTGAAAGCAGCATAATCAAACGTTCGTTCTTCTGTTCTCACAAAGACGCAGGTTCCTGCCAAGAGCTGTGGCGACCTGGAACCTGTCCTAGAATCATGGGAGACTTCCCCGGGTGCCGGTCCATCAGACGGTGCATGCACACGCACGCACACACGGAGTAACACGCAAACTCCACACAGAAGGCACCCTTGTCCGGAATCAAACCCAGGAACCGAGAGCTGTGAGGCATCTGGGCTTATTACCGTGCTGCCTGTGTTCATCCATGCTTTTAATAATTCCACAAGAACCCACCGTTGAATATAAAGACCCTCAGACCTATATCAAATGTCCTGCAGCACCTCAGCTGCCCACCCGCTGTGTCTCCCCCTGCACTACTCATGTTTCCCCACTGTCACTCCCCCACACCACGCTTCAGGAGAAAGACCACCCTTCTTAACTGGCTTTCATCTCCCTAATTAGAGTATACCCCAGAGGTGCTGGGAGATCAGTCCGGGAGACAGAGGGATTTGTTCCATTTTTGTGCTGAGTCCACTAGACAGGAGCCGTCATAGGCTCCACGAGGTGAGCACTCGAAATCCATCCGTGCATTTCTCAACTGCTTTTTCCAAGTCAGGGTGGTGGGGGAGCTGGGACTTATCCCGGCATGAACGGTCTCAAGGCAGAGCACACCCTGGATGGGATGCCAGTTCATGTCCGTCTCAGGACACACAGACACACACTCACATCCAGTGCCGGTTTCCCTGGAAGCCCATTATCCTCCCAGCATATCTTTGGACTGTGGGAGGAAACTGGAGCACCAGGAGGAAACCCAGGGGAGAACATACAAACTCCACACAGACAGCACCTCGGGTCCAGAATTGAACCCAGGGCCTCAGTGCTACAAGGCAGCAATGCTGATCACTGTGCCACTGTTCCATTCCCCCTCAAATCCTAAAACATTTTATTAACCTATTTCGTTTATAGAGCATATGCATTCTTTTGAAAATTGTGGCGCACAGCCACTCAGAGAAAAAAAATATTCAAAAGAATAAAACCCCATTTTAACAAAGTCAATTTTAACATAAGATTGTTTTGTCATTTTAAAGTTGTGGGTGCGGTCTGATCTGGGCTTCAGTTTTTCAGGGAGACATTCGGGAATCCCAGTGGGAGACTCAGACACACTGCCCCGAGCCTGGGGGATTGGGGGGTAGCCATCAGGCCCTGAGAGGACCAGGGGAGACACAGAGGGTCAGCCCAGGGTGAGAAACTGAACTTCTGACACGCTGTGTGCGTCTGCAGAATTACCCCTCTGTAAACACACCCTCCGTGTTAAAAGGGTTAAGAAACTAGAAACTGGAACGACCTCTTGCTGTGAACAATGCAGATGTATTTGATGAGCTTAGAATGATCAGGAACTATTTTATTACAAATAACATGGTTAATAGAGAAGGTAAACTTTGCTACTTGGTTCATGCCATTCTGTATTCAGCAGGACTGTTTCCAAAGCAGTACCTATCAATAAGGTATAGTTCTAATGACATTGATGGATAAAAACTGTTTTGTTGAATGTTATTTAATTGCTATATATTTTGTAGATGGTACAAATAATGATCACTGGGACCTGACTTGAAACTATATAATTATGCTGATACTTGTTATGATTCATGTCATTTATATAGCGCCTTTCATCCTAAAGGATCCTCAAGGTCCTTTACAAATAGGAGTGCACCCGTGCAGTCCTGAATTGCAGCTCTCAAATGGGTGATAAAAGACACCTCACAAACAAGAGTGCCTTTTGGCTAATCTTCCTCAGTTAGTAGTAGTTAGTAGCTAATTGATCCAAGCTAACATCCAGCTGTTTCTTGAAAGAACCAGGGTATCGGCTTTCACAACATGGCTGGGTAGATTGCTCCAGACTCCCACAACCCTTTGCGTAAAGAAGCACCTCCTGTTCTTAAAGACACTTCCACTTATTTAGCTTCCATGTGAAATGTGGGACAGCCATTCTGTGCTAACAGCCTAACTATATGGCTGATCAGGAATAGGAGGGAGAGATTGCTCCACCAGTCGAATCAGGGCGAGCCCTTAGTGAGGCCAGACTGTACAAGCCCGGAGTGGACGACAGCCAGGACACCGAGGTAAACAGCACTACTCTGACAAACGGCGCAATCGGATTTTAAATAACCAAGTAATCAGGGTCCCGCTTCCTGCAGCCTTGTCTCCTGTCCTGAATACTGTACATATTGTAACGCATACGGCCACCATTGATTGTGAGAGCCGGCTTACCAGCGCGGTGACGTCAGGGTAAGAGTGTGAGCCCGCGCCGCGCTACTGACAGACAAGACGCGGCTGACGCCTAATTGCCATCCCAGCCACGTGCTGTGGGAGTGGGGCAGAGTTCACAAAACAGAGGATGTCCACACAAAAACAAGGAGGCCTTATGGAAAGACCCCTGCATTCCCCACCCGGCACGACAAAAAAAACAACAGAAAAGTGGTTCGCCGACAACTGGGGGCCAATCCGCACCCTTAGTGAAGACACGCCGTCAATTTGCGTCTGCCTTTATATTGTATCGTCCGCGGATGAAGAAAACGGCTAAAAGTTGACCGAGTCCCCTCTGACTCGGATGTGAAGAAAAAACACTTTGATCGTCGATTGTCAGAGAAGGCTGTCCTTAACTTACGATATCATTTTTGTGTGTGTGATTTTACATAGAATGCAGAACATTGAATGGTGACATTAGTATTACTTGTTATTTTTTAATATCAAATTAAAGAGCTTAAAAAATTCAGCACCAGCTTTTGCTATTCATTGTTTTCAGGACGACAATACTGTCAAACTTTAGAAACGTATTACTGCAGGTTTGTTTTCTCACATTACTGATCACAGGGATAAATGAGTGTTTTTAGGGTGCCTGGTGGGCAGTAAGTATCTAAGATGAAAGCTAGTCGTGCCTCAACAAGACCCAATGAAAGAATGGAAAAAGCTTCACTGGCATGACTGATGAATTGCAGTGTTGCCAAAACAATATTTAGCAAGACATATGCAAAAATTTACAATACAAACCTGGGAGGTTCACTCTCTGCTCCTCATGGCTGGGCTGAAGCACTACTGAATTTCCTCTCCCTCCCCCAGTAGGACTGGAAGCTGGTCTGATTCTGGCAGATGTGAGAATCCCAGGATTAGATTAGTTAATTAATTAACGGAATAAGAACTGTCCAATCCTGGACAGCATTCTGCAGGACAGCAGAAAGTGCAGCTCTTTCGTTCTCTTTCTGCTGGCTGTGGGCACTGAGCCTGTCCCCTCTGGAGAATAAGGTCCGTCTGTTCTGCCCTTTTTCTGTGGCTCTCCAGCTCTGTCTGAGCTGTCCAGTTTCCGTGGCCAGGCTGAGGTCACTGAGCCTGTCCTCTGTGGCTATCCAAGTCTGCCGGTGTCCAGTTTTCTGTGGCCAGGCTGTGGTCACTGAGCCTGCCCACTGTGGCTATCCAAGTCTGCCGGTGTCCAGTTTTCTGTGGCCAGGCTGTGATCACTGAGCCTGTCCTCTGTGGCTATCCAAGTCTGCCGGTGTCCCGTTTTCTGTGGCCAGGCTGTGATCACTGAGCCTGTCCACTGTGGGTACCCAGGTCTGCCTGTGTTGCCCAGTTTCTGTGGCGAGCCTATGCTTCCTCAGGATCTGTTTCTTCGTGTGGCAGTCCACAGACTAGTGTGTGACCCAGGATCTCATTCTTACAGAATAAACAATCCAGTTTATAAAGCGCCTTACCACTTTCTCCACAATCTGCCCTGCCCCTTTTTTTCCCCTAATGAAGGCCAACAGTCCAAGTCATCAACACAAGATGAGAACAGTACACTACCTTTATTTTGTATTGCAATACAATCTTATTCCACAAGAGGGCGCTACTTATCTATCATTTTCTTGTCAAGGTTCAATCACTTGTTAATTCCAGAAGGAAAAAAAGATTAGCAACAGCACTCTTTGTTCAATTCATCCAAGAATTCCACCAGCATCTGTACAAATATTTAATCTCTTTACACCATTTGGCTCAGGTAATAGTTTATACACACATAGGATAAAAAAAATAAACTTCTGAACACTGATTTCTCTTCTCCTTTACAGATTAATAAACATTAGAAGTTTATATGGAGCAAACTCTATGTAGAGTATAGCAACCCAGTGATTGTGCTCATGGATGGCAAGAAAGCTCCCATTGCCCAGCCTTTGGATCCATGTCTGGTTTTATGGGGTACAGGCCCTTAGGCAGAGTGTACCATTAGAGAAGAAAAGGACCCTACGTCTATCTACACAAACTTACTCCAAATTGAACAAAGTAAGCAGGATGCATCCAGGGCCTCTTGCAGGCTTATGTCCAGCAGCCAACAGCTTTTAAAACCTGCAATGTTTCACACTGCAATGCAATGAGAGTTACCACCACCCCCATCATCAAACAGGTGGATTTGAAGGGAGTTATATGTCCAAAGGAGACCACAGGACTGTGTACTTTAAATGAAAATCAAGGCGCTCCTGTTTTGCAGAGACTGCAGCCATAATGAAATCCCTTCTCGGAATATGGTCCGAGTCACCGTTGATCAAATTCACACAGCATCAGAGCCCCCCCTTCATCCTGCACCTTCTGGGAACACAATGGTACATCCCAGACATTTATTCCCTGGATCCTTGTGGAGCAGTCCACTGGAAGTGCAAAGAGGGGTGGATTTTTGTAAGCACACAGTCCTGCTGTCCATGAACAGGAAGAAGACAGGAAAGCAGAGGCCCAGAGCATCTATGCAAAACCCAGAGATTGCAAATGAGGGTGTGGGGGTTGAATCAGGCTGGGTGATTGCCAATTCCTCCCCCAGACCTCCAAATAAACCCCACTCCTAAAAACAGTGACCACTCTGATTTCAAGTCGAAGGCGATGAAAGTCAAAAACTGACATCACGGTTAATATTTACACTTTACTACATTTCTCATAACATAACATAAAACACCTCGCAGTTAAGTGTGTGGTTACAGTACGTACTTACAAAGGCTGGTGAGAGAAAGTGCAGTAGTTTATTTACACCCTAACTGGCTGGCTTTGCTATGGCTGTTGCCAATGGGACACTACAGTCGGTCCCGTTTATCCACACCCTTGATAAACTGTAACTAAAAGTTCATTTTGCAAAACAAGAATGAAAAAAAAAATCAAAATGTTCAAGTTTATTCATACCCTGCAACTGTTAAATGTTGTGTAATGAAAAAAGAACAAATAAGGAATCTGAGTATATAATATCAAGGGTATGAATACATTTGGAGCCCACTGTATACTTCTTTCTGTTGACACGAGAATTGTTCTCGTACCTTTTTAAAGACAAAGGAATAACTTTCTAATTTTATCAAATCCAAAAAGGAAGGAATGAAAAGGCTTGTGGTGACTCCGAAATTAGCATCCTGTAAGATTAAAACTACACTCCACACTTTCATGGTGTTGCGGTTAACTCAGCACTGTGGTCAACATGTTCCGGTTACAATACTTTGGAAACGTCGTTTGTTACTTTGACATTTATACGCAGTGCAAATGACAGAAAGCTTGACCAAGGTGCAAAACGAAGGATCCTTTAGGAGCTCAAACCCCTGTATTAGACATACGTCCTGGAACCCCAATGTGTTTAATATAAAGGGAAAACCGAGACTAATCTCAAGGGGAGCTGTGACTGTAAGAACTTTACTAATATTTAAACCTGATAACAGACTGCAGGCTTCCATACAAGCCATGGATGATCATAGTCCTGCTTGTGCCGGTGAGGGTCGTGGGAATCAGGATCGATCCCAGAAGCCCTGTTGGGACTGAAAGGCCATCATGGGCAGGACCCAGGACAGGACGCTAAGCCCATTACAGAGTCACGGAGAAAGGGACAGTTTGGAAGAGCTAATCAAACCCGGGCAACAGGTGTTTGGGAGGTGGGAAGAAACCCATGCAAACTCCACGCAGAAGGTGAGCTACCCCAGAATTGAAACCAGCACCCGAGAGCATCGACAGGCATGCCACCATGCTGCCAGAATGATCGATTTCATGCGACTTCAATTCCCTGGGCATGATGGGAAATCTGCTACACAGCTCCCGAGAGAGTAAATGAAAGAGGTTCGATGAGGCAAATCTAGATCTCTGCTGGATCAGAAACCACAGGAGCAGTGCTACTGCTGCCCCGAACTCCCCCAGCGCACACAGTGCTCTCCCTACTGCAGAGACTGCTGCCAATCCAGCCTCTTCCTCCCCGTTTCCTAACCTGCCCACAGGTTTACCCTTGCTGGCTCCAGCCATTGGCTCTCACCATACTGAACACGACATTTCACACGCACAAAAAGAACATTCAATAAATAGACACTTAAATATATAAATCAAAAACATAAGACCTATTTCTTCCAGGGGGCTGACTGTGCAGGACACTAGGAACTTATTTCTTTTGAAAATTATTGAACTCAATGCCTGCTGGCTTTAAAGAACCCCAATCAGACTGAACACAAAACAGACAAAAAAAAAAAAACACCACATAAGGAAAAAACTTAGACCCCAATCCTAGTGAGGATGACTACTCTAATCATCTGCCTGCTAGGTTTTTTAAATCGCACAAGAACTGGCCCAAACACAGCACAAGTAACACTTCTGCGGTTCTTACATGCAGCTGCTGCAGTTTTAGAGCCGCCCAGCAGGGGGCAGGCATGTTTCTATTTTAACAGAAGGGAGTTTTCTAAATTTCATTGTCCCAGAGGGAATTAGGTTAGAACAAGTGAAATAAAAATCATCCACCATCCGCACCAAAGAAATACAAGCCGTTTCCACAGCAACCAGTGTTAAAAAGAACAAAAACAAAAAAAATCCTCAGCGTTACAATTAGTGAACATCGTTTGGCACAGCAATCTCACTTCCTCCACTCTGGAGATCTTGCTTTTGCTCCTAAAAATTGCATGCTTCTGTTCAGGTCAGTAGGGGGCAGTGGAAGCCACTTGGTTTAATAAGGAAGCTAAATGGAAGCTAAAGTCTGTTCTGTTTCTCTCCTCCCTCCAGCCTGCTGCTCTGCTCTCATTGGCAGAGGAGGTTCAGTGTTGCCCGGCCTCTCTGATACGACAGGCCACTGCTGTGATCAGGGCCGCCCCCTTCCCGCTGCCGTCCTCTGATTGGAGGAAAGTGACGTCACACTGTGGGGCCAGGTCTTGGACAGTCTCATGCAGAATGTTGGAGAAACTGGAAACCAAGAAAGTATCACAGCATTATCACATGGAGATCTAAAGAAAATGATTTAACACTGCAACTACAGCCTGTTTATACTAATGTACAGTGACTTACACATTGCAGATGAAGGACACATGATGTACAATCTAAGCCATGCTATCTGTATCACAGCAGGTATAGGATATATTCACTATATGCAGAGTATTTATACTATTGTACACTTGCATGTGTGCATATTAATGCACACAGCAACGTTACTCCTGAAGATGGAGACCCACAGTTCAGAAGATTTTATCATTAATCCACAACTGATAAATTAGGTCACGGAAGTGGATTAGGGAATTCGGCAAGTAACGGAAACGCTGGGGACACCCTGTGTCCCGTGTCTGTGCGAGTGACTCACTGAGGGTGCAGCTTGTACAGAGTGCCGTCCACTCCCACGGTGACCTTCAGGTGGTCCAGCCGGCGGTTCTCGCGGATCTTGTCCACCACGGCGGCGAGGCCGGCCCCGCAGAGCTGCGCCGCCCGGTGCGCCACGGCCGTGCACACCTCCTTCACGATGATGCTGTCGTCGCACGTGCTGTTCAGGCCCAGGTGCTGCAGGATGGAGCGCACCTGCCGCAGGGCCAGACGGTCACTGCAGAGCGAGCGAGCGAGCGAGACAGCAGTGAGGCCGAGAGACGCGCACCGACACCGCCAGGACTTCAAGGGGAACTGCAGGGCCAATTTCTCAGACCACTTACTCCATCTTGGTAACAAACTAGAAATCAACTGACGGGATCGCACAATTGGACAAATTCTGAATTTAAGCACAAAATCATGAACTTTTCGGAAGTACTGTATAGTCAACAGGTTGTTGCAAACCCCTAGTCTCGCTACAGGCGAGAGGGAGAGCTCGCACGAATGTGATGTGGAGCGGCCCTTCCTGCTCACAAGTCACTGTAATGACTCTTGGAATGCGGTGTACGAGCTAATAAGTACAGATTGCGCAGCAGACATTTCTCCATAGAAAGTTTCCAACGTGATCTGCACGCAGAGTTAACAAGTAGTATTTGTCAGCAAAACCACTTCAAAATCAAGAGCAGTTTTTCTATTGGATTAAAAGAGATGTATTCACTCGCCGGCTCATTTACGCTGTTATAGAACTGCACACGTTACTGGAAGTTGATTCGTTCTGAATCACAGAACATGGAGCCGTGCATACCTGGAAATGTAATTTTCCGATGTAAATTGGAGGTTTTACACACTATTGTGTACATTTTACTTGCATTGTAGTTTGTAATGCACTCATCAGTGCTGTTTCTTCCTAACCCCAGAATATGAAAATAGCATAGCCGTTCCCCTTTAAGACTCCATGCCCGCGCAGGAGAGCCTGTGCCCTACCTCTCGATCTGAGACAGGAATTTGGTCTCGAAGATGCCTCGCGTCTTGAGCCGCTCGGAGATCTTGCCCCGGAACAGCAGCCCCCGCTTCGTGAAGTCCAGGAGGATGTTCCTCACGATCTCCCCCAAGTACATCCCGCTGATCATCTTCTCGTACCTGAGAGGGGCGGGGAAAGGCAGGAGGAGAGTTGGTAAGACTGGCACTTACAACGGAGACCTGGATTCCAGACTTGACACGGGCTGACACAGCTGTTACTGTCAAGCAAAAGAACCAGGGAAACTTGGGAGCTGACCCAGAAACCATACCCATTTTCTCCTTTTCGGATTGTAAAATTAGATGCAGTGGCTATAGTGTGAGTGGAGGGTGCCATCTTGAATGATCTCTCTTGGGGAGGAGGCAGCACTCCTAGGTCACTGAATGCCAAGCGTTCCCGATTATGGAGAAGTGGCGTGTGGCACGCTCGTATCCCGGTACCTCTGCTTGCCAGGATTGAGAGACAGCTCGTCCACGGCCTTGTCGAAGGGGGTGAGGAAGTCGTCCAGGCAGCCGTTGTCTCCGAAGGCGCCCCACTCCATGTTGACGCACATCCGCCCCTCGCTGCCCTCCACCAGCTCCACGTTCGCCATCTCCTCCATGTAGCAGGCGTTGCTGCCCGTTCCTGAGCACAAAGACAGACAGAAAGGGGCCGTTTACAGGCGCAGCCCCTGGACTGAGAGAGAGAGACCATGTACCGTGCTCTGCACGGTGCACACAGCGCGTCACGGTAACGATCTCCCCGGAGTGGACCAGCAGGCATTGCTGCTGCTCCCACGCCAGGATACCGACGTCACAATGACAGGAGCTACATCTCCAACGCTCCTCCCAATCGGAGCAGGGACAACCCCACGTACACTCACCCACAATCAGCCCCACTTCACAGAGGGGGTCTTCGTAGCCACAGGTCATCATGGTGCCCACTGTGTCGTTGACAACGGCAACCACGTCCAGGTCAAACTCCTACAGCAGAGGAGATGGGACACACGGTCAGCCGAGGTCGGATGAAACGGATGTCCATCTGCAAAGGAAGTGCAAGCGTGTGGTGAAATCTGACCTCGCGGCGGTGAATGGCGTCCTTCAGCAGGGTGACCACGTCCTCCCCCTCGCAGCCGGACGCCTTGAAGCCCTTTGTCCACTTTAGCAGGATCCCCTGGGGGCAGAAGGATGAGAGGCATGAGACATGGGGATTAGGCGGTGAGAGTTTGCCTGGAGCAAATGTGTTCTTCCCACGTCAGGAGTGCGATCAGATAAGATCACTTTATTGGGCATATACAATTTCTTGCATTAGGAATTTGTCTTTTCGCATACCCCAGCTTGCTCTCCATGAGACACACAGACGGGGAGAGAGAAGCTTGGGGTCAGAGCGCAGGATCAGCCATTTATATGGCACTCCTGGAACAGCTGGGGTTGAGGGCCTTGGTCAGAATTTCTCTGCCGGCCGTGGGATTTGAACCCTCCGGCTACAGGTGCAGATCCTTAGCCACTGTGCCACCACACCGCCCCAAAAACTTGTGCCCGAAGTGGGTATTGAACTCGGATCGCCTAGACAGAACCCCTATCGGCAAACCCGCTGTACCAACGGGCTGCTCAGGAGACCGGAGCAGTGAAGCACCAGGTAAGTTCTTGCTGCTCCACGTGCAACGAGTGCAGTGAGATGAGAACTCGAGGTCACGAGTGGAAATGAAGAGTATCCAGCTGCAGGACTCAAAACGGACGTGCAAACATGTGGCACTGCCAGCGCATCTCCAGTGAAGCGCCGGAGCTTGGCGCTTGCCCACTGAGCGGCGCCGTGCCCACCTGGTCCAGGTTGTTCTGGTGGCAGGGGAAGGAGAAGGTGAAGCCCAGCGGCAGGGACACGCCCTTCATGCCCATGTACTCCAGGAAGTCGGCGATGCAGTGGACGATGTGGTCAAAGAGCTGCGGGGGGGGGGGAGACACGGGAGATGGAGAGGGACGTCATCACGAGAGGAACACAGCACCGACCCGACTACTTCACACACAGACGCTCCATGGAGGCTGCAGAGGGTCTACTGCAAAACCTGTGCCCCACGCAACGACCACTGTTCTCCCCTCGGGCGAACCCGCACCTCCTCGCCGGTGCCCTGCATGGCCTCCTGCGGGATGGTGTAGATCTTGTTGTGCATCTCCACCGTGCGCCTCTTGCTGTTCCGCACGCGCACCAGCAGCACGCGGAAATTCGTGCCGCCCAGGTCCAGCGCCAGGAAGTCGCCCCTCTCTGTGGGACAACGGCAACAACAACAACAAAAAAAAAAAATCAGCGATGAGCCTTTTGGGAGCAGACGGTCGCAGACACAGAGTCAGAGTCTTTGACAGGAGAGACACTGTTGATTCAATAACGATGCCGCTGAAAAGAAAAATCGGGTTCTTAGCTCGGTTAAAGGCTGAGAATGGCGCTAACAGCCATCTATCACAGAGCCAGATACGTAGCTTTAGCGCTATGTGTGATCCATGATCTGGAGGCCAAGTACATCCCAGGCAGGTGCTAGAGCCTCTCTACCGCTTAAAACCCAGGACCACCAGAGCACCCCCTTCGTCAAGCTGGGAACTGTGTGATCGCCATCACCTGCTTCACTTGGGGTGATAATTCATTTAGGAATGATCTGCAACACACATCTTATGAGGACCAGGGTTTCCTCCCTCACGAACAAGTCACCTGGACCCAGCTCGTGTTCCCCATCTTCAGGGCTGGGGTGATTTGGGGGTGACCTCCGGGCATGCTAGGTGGGGGTCCCTCCAGCCCCGCGGCCTCACGGCCCTGGTTGAGACCCAGGGCGAGGGGGATGAGGCGCTCACCTGTGCCGTCGGGCGTGGAGCGGACGTAGGTGGGCAGCATCTTGACGGAGGCGGAGGTGTGCGTCTCCCGGCGCAGCCCGGCGGCCATCTCGGCCCTCATGCGCCGCTTGACCTCCAGCAGCGCCTCCCGGTCCAGCCGCAGCCCCTCCAGCGTGGCCTGCCGCTCCGCCTTCTGGCTGGCCAGCCGGTGCGCCACCGCCGTCACCATGGCGGCGCCCTTCCCGCTGCCGTCCTCCGAGCGCAGGAAGCGCACGTCGCAGTCCGGCACCAGCCGCCGGACCATCTTGTGCAGCCGCCGGGCGAACCTGCCGGCGGGGGGGGGAGGGGGTTCGAGTCAGCGCCGCCTTCCAGCGCCACACGGGGGCGCCAGCCGGCCAGGGGGGAGAGAGGAAGGGAATCGGGGGCGCTGCCAGTGTGGACAAGCCGGTAAGAGGAAGTGCTGGAAGCCGGAGCGGTGAGGGACAGGAGGAGAGAGGGAGCGGGAGGGCTGGAGAGAGGAGGCGGCGGTGAGGGACGGGAGCAGAGGAGGAGCAGGAGGGCTGGAGAGAGGAGGCGGTGAGGGACAGGAGGAGAGGAGGAGCAGGAGGGCTGGAGAGAGGAGGCGGTGAGGGACAGGAGGAGAGAGGGAGCAGTGAGGGCTGGAGAGAGGAGGCGGCGAGGGACAGGAGGAGAGAGGAGGCGGCGAGGGACAGGAGGAGAGAGGAGGCGGCGAGGGACAGGAGGAGGATGGGAGGAGAGGGGGAGCAGGAGGGCTGGAGAGAGGAGGCGGTGAGGCACAGGAGGAGAGAGGAGGCGGTGAGGGACAGGAGGAGAGAGGGAGCAGGAGGGCTGGAGAGAGGAGGCGGAGGCGGCGAGGGACAGGAAGAGAGAGGGAGCAGCAGGGCTGGAGAGAGGTGGCGGCGGTGAGGGACGGGAGCAGGGAGGAGGAGCAGGAGGGCTGGAGAGAGGAGGCGGTGAGGGACGGGAGCAGAGGAGGAACAGGAGGACTGGAGAGAGGAGGCGGTGAGGGACAGGAGGAGAGGGGGAGCAGTGAGGGCTGGAGAGAGGAGGCGGTGAGGGACAGGAGGAGAGGAGGAGCAGGAGGGCTGGAGAGAGGGAGCAGTGAGGGCTGGAGAGAGGAGGCGGCGAGGGACAGGAGGAGAGAGGAGGCGGCGAGGGACAGGAGGAG